CTGGGGGCCGGAGGGAGCTGGGCCTGGCAGCTCCAGAGGACACGGGGAATGGCAGTTTTCCAGGGCAAAATTCCAGCCAGCATCTGCCACCTCGTATTTGAACTCGGGCTTGTCTTAATAACCACTCTTACTTGCTTATGGGAAGGAAAACCAAAGCTAGGCTGATGGGATGTAGGTGCACAAGAGATAGATCCTGATTTTGCTCGCGGGACCTCACAGCTCTTGTGTAAGAGGACTTTCCCCTTCTGCTACTCTGACACCAGCCCAGGCACCTGTGTGATGCAAAAAGCTGCTTGAGAAAGTAGTCGCAGAGGAAGACACACACTACTTGACTGCTGTCAAACAACCCCACGTTGCTCCTGTCTTTACAGGATGCAACCACTCTTCCCGACACCCATCCCTCCGAAATTCCCAGCCCTTCATTTTGCTCCAACATTGTATTACTAATGCCAGTGTGCATTTGTTTTACAAAATAATGAGCCAGAACTGGGGCCTTTCCCACAGAAGGTCATGGAGGGTAGTGGCAGGCTGCAGCTACGTGGTACCTTTTAGCCTTCTGCCAGGGGCAGCTAAAAATATCAGTAGCACGCATCAAATACAGATTTATGGCTTGCAGCAATACTGGCTGACTCCAGTATAACATGAGACAGTTTAGCCTGCGTTAACACCAACCTAACACTTCATAATATCTGCTGTTACCACTGGTACGGAATGGTGGAAGGAAACAACAGAGGCAAGAAAACGAGAAGAAAGCACGAGAGGATAGACGTAAAAAATCCCGTTGACACTATCTCCATCCCTGTACCCAGGAATCTTTATTAGACATTGTTTTAAAAAATATATATAGTATTTATTTAAAAGTTGCAGTCACTTCAGCCTAGAGCAGCTCTTCAAACACAATTCTGCTATAGGCACTGTATAGGTGTTTATGCATTTGCAGATACAGCTGCTGTACAGTAAGTCAGAACCACTGGATGTCCCAGTTCAGAGGCAAGAGGGCACAGCCCTCCCCTCTGGAGAGCAGCAGTTCCACCAGGCCCATGCTCCACAGCTCTGTAACAGCTCTTCTCTTCACTGGGGGTAGTTTTACACACACCGGTAGGGTATGATGCAAAGTCCTCTTCGAGACAACCATATCTTAAAAATCTTTTTTTTTTTTTTTTTTTTTTTTTTAAAACCAGTAACTGAACTCTGTTCGCAGTGTCCTTGAAAGGAGAAGGAGGCCTGTAATAGCTGACTTTGGATATGATAAGGTTGAGGAGCCAACCGTTCAGGGACCATGTCTCATTGTTACCCTGCTGGGTGCAGTCCATGACCTATGGCACTCCGCAGCTTCAGTGCCACGAAACACAACCTCCTCAGCTTCCATTCATTCAGGCTCGTTTCTGTGCTCGCTCGTTCTGTTGAAAATTAAAGTTGAGAAGGTGACTCAAGATGCCCCTGTCACAGAGAAGGGACTTTGGGGAGCAATGGGACAATTTAATAATCCTTTCTGCCCCAGTTCTCAAACACTGCTAGTCTGCAACTCAAAATCATCTTTTTTCAAGGACAGGCGTTTATCAGGAGTCCTCCAATTAGAGAGCACAACACTTGCCCAAATCATACAGCACGAAGTCTATTATGGATCCCTCATCTACCCGTCAGGGAAGTTAAACGTTACCCAGCTTTTGTCTGAAAGGTCTCAACCTTCCCACTGTATAAAGGAGGGCCTGCAGAAAATGCTTTCCTGCCTTAAATACCCAATTTCTAGTCAGCATCGCTTTAAATTACAGTCTTAAAACTCTGTTATGACCCAAGGTTTAACTTCTGCATTTTGTTGACCTTCCTCTAGGTAGTTGCCAAAATCCCAGCTCCAGAGGTAAAGGAAGGGAGAATAAAAAAGGAAACACCACAAATCACGGAACCATTTCAGATGAAAAAGACCCTTAAGATCATCAAGTCCAACCTAAACCTAACACTGCCAAGCCCACCACCAAACTATGTCCCTAAATGCCACACCTACACATCTTTTAAGTACCTTCAGGGATGCTGCCTACTTTTCTTTTAACAGAAACCCCCTTTCTCCCCCCTCCCACCCTGAGTATTTCATAATGCTGCACCCAAAAATGCTGCCTTCACACTGAAATGGAAATGTCTCAGTTAAAGGAAGGGATCCTGGACACTAATACTTGTGCTAGTCATGAGTTGCAATAAACTGTGCAAGTTGTAGTTTGTTTTTTTAATTTTCTTCCCTGTTTCGATTACCTTGACTGTCTTCTCAAGTCTACGCAGAGCTTCCTCATATTGCTGCACCAACGGCTTTAATGAGTTGCCCTTCACCGGGTGCTTCTTTATGTCTTGGATGCCGGCATCCTTCAACATCCGCAGAAACCTGCGTTCCTGTGGAACAAAATGGACACGGGAGATGAGACACCTCAATGCCTATCAGCTAGGAAATGAGCATGTTTTGGAACGTCCTGCCTAGTCAGGAAATAATTGAAGTTTCCGAGTATAAAGCACAGCTGACTGGAAAAGGTGGGAAGTAGTATGAACCTTATCTTCTTTATGTCCCTCCACACACCCTTATCAGATGATCCCACACCAACAACATACCTGAATTCTAAGGACCAAGCTGAAAGCAACACCAACTTTTCCTGCACGAGCCGTTCTTCCAACTCTGAAATCATAAAAAGTAGTGTCAAGTCAGTTTAGCTACATAGGCACTGCCTTTAGCAGCTCCAAGAGTCTGATTCTGAAATTCTCAAGATTTAAGAAAGTCTGATTCTGAGGTTTTTTTCAGGTTAGCACAGCAGGACTAGCCACATGTTACAAAGAATGAACTTTCTGTAATAGGGTGCTAGTTCTCTGTTGCAATACTGCATTACTCTGGTGATGCTATGGGCTTAATTTTGATTAGAAAGCTATTTGCATATGAAAGTTAAAAAAAAATAAATCCAAAGCTAAAAACCCTTTTAAGTGCACGTCACCTTTGCTAAATATTTCAAAGTAAACCAAATTCAAACGTCTTCCTTTTGTTCCTGGTTGCCTTACCGGTGAACGTATGTTCTGATGAACTGAGGCGCATCGTAGTTTATTACGTAATTCACTCCTTTCACGTCAATCCCTCGTGCAGTGGCATCGGTGCTGATTAACCTGGTTGTAAATGTATAGATAGCCATTTTCAGATAACATCTCTTGCACTACAAGCGAACACAGCACAACCCTTGCTAATCTCTGTTCAGGCTGGACAGCCAGCCTCTGACCTCTAAGCGCAACAGCAGCAGTTTAAGTCACTCCTTATCGCACCGGCATTATTAGCCGCCCGCAGACCTCCAAGCATCACTACAGGCTTGGCACCTGCTGTTGTGTGTGACACATTACTGGGTGTTTCCAGGTTCTCCAAGCCTGTGACACTAAGGCAGATGGCTCCTGCCACGTTGGAGGTTACAAACCTATAGGCTATCTGAACGTTCCATAAAGGCACTGAAGGCCGACAGCGAAGTGAGAAATTCTAGTAGTCAAGGATGAATTTAAACAGAGTTTGGATAAAAAGAAAACCCAGAAAGTAAATATTTACCTTCCTCTCAGACACACTGCACAGATGCAATCCCATAGAGCCACCGACATCACAAAGCAACTCAAACATATGGATAGAAGTAAATCTGTATGCCAGTCTGATCAGGGGTTTCTTTGGTAGGGAGCACTACTACTATATATAGTTCTAGCACCAACATCAAATTTCTTCCAAAAAGCGCCAGATCCCAAGCACAGACATCAAACTTAAGATTTTCAGAACTGTACGTGTTTTGGGCAACAGTATGAACAAAGCAGTTACATTTACTGCTTGTTATAAAATCACACATCGAAATTCAGATTACAGCTAGATTAGAACAGGCCAAGTTACATGCAAGGGTAACAATTCAAAAGTCACAAGTCCAAGTCTCACACCCATTCTGGACGGTGGCTCCTGCACGTTGTTTTACAGAAAACATCATTTAACTGTGGTCTTGGTTCTACCTAGCTTTTCACACTGGAAATGGCCTATGTTGGAAAGCATGCAGAAAACTCATTTGAGATGCTCACAGTTGTATTTTTCCTTGTTCAAATTCCTTCATGGTTCTCTGTCTCTCATTTGGAGGTAACCGAGAAGAAAATTCAGCCACAGTGACTCCACCAAAGGCTTGAACCAGCAGGAACAATCTGTAGGTAAATGAGATGGAAACAGTCACTTCACCATCTCTCTAACATGACAGATAGCTACTATAGTGATCTCATTAACATATTCACCTGTGAGAAGCTTCCCTGGAGTTGGTAAAGCACAACACGCGGGTAAATTTCATTGTCAGCATGAAATGCAAGAGGAGCAAAGGCTTGGAATTCAGGTCACAAGGCACGTAACATTGCTGCAGTTGACAGGGAAGAAGTTCAGAGAGAAAGATTACTTCTTGCCAAGGCTATCTGCTACGAAACCTGTGACCTGTCCATGACCTACACAGGCTTGGATGTTTTGCAGCTAATAGCAGCAAAACCAGACCCCATATCGCTACTCCCTTTAGAACAAGTCATAGTAACAGGATGGGAGGATACAACACAAGGTGGAGACAGGAGACCTGTGTTATTCTTATGCTCTCACTTCAAGGCAAGTAACAACACATACTGCCTTCCTGTCTACAGGGTGACCTGTATCTACATGCCTTGAAATGCACGTTACACATAAGTGCTAATATATTATTACTTTATATCTCCGCTCCCCATTGCTTGTAAACTTAATCTTGCATAAAGAGAGTTTAATTAAAAAAAAAAATTAAAATCCAGTCTTAACCAAATGAACACTAAGTAATGAGAAAACAAATGCGCAAAGGTAGAGCTCTCTGGATCGTACACACTCCCAAAGTCGCTTTTGCCCAGCACCTCTAATGCAAGGAATCATAGGGAAGACGTATTTGTTTATAGGGTAAAAACATAACTAGATACCCCAGAGTTAAACAAATCTTCAAGTACAATTTATTCAAAAGAATTAACGTCATACCGATAGTCCCTCAGGGAGTGTGTACTTCTTATTAGTTTCTTGTTCTGTCTCTGTTCCATCTCCGAGTGTTTTCTTCTCGGAGTAGACAGACGTGAAGAGGCGAGGCTGGAATAAATCCAGCTGCTGCAGTTTCTCTGGGTCCTGGGTGAGTGTGGCTGAAAACAGCAGTTTCTGTAAGGGTATGTGAGGATAGCAGGAGCTGGAATAAATAGCACATGGAAACTGAGCTTTGAGGATGGGGCAAAGGAGCTCCTCCACAAACACGTTCAAATTATGTTATGAGGGAAGCAATTAATTCTTTTTGATACTCTTTTCCTGCTCTGGGCCTCTCCTGTAGGTTCTTTTCCAACTTTGTTTTATGGTGGAGTTCACAGACAGAACTGATTAAGCATTCTCAACCAACTGCACAATCTGCATCCGTTACCGCAGCACACATCCTTGCATCCTAGTCACTCGTGTCCTCATTCTAGTTGCTTATCTCAGTTTCTAACACATCTCTACCACGCTGTATGAAAATAGCAGCTGCAAACAGAGTTCCAAGAGTTCTCCTTCTAATCCATTACTCAGCTTGCCAGGGGGCATTACTATAGTTACTGTGCAAATGAATCACAGACTTGGATTATGTGCGCATTCTTTTGATGCTCCTCCAGTCTAGTTAAGGAGAGCTTGGAGAATACAATGCTCAGGCTTCAGTCTAAAAGACATCCTCTAGTATCAGCTGGTCGCTGCCTGCTTTTTCAAGGTTTGAAAAAGCAGCTGCTTTACTTTAGCAGACATTTCTCAGAGCAAGCAAGCTTTGGGAGTGCCTGTGAGTGAGTACAGTGAAGCAGGGCAGTGGCGTCTAGGTGCTGGTGTGCGTCTACCGGTTCAAAGAAATGCCACCTACCTGGCCGCTGTCAGAGGCCCTGGTTTGGTCCTCTGAAAAAGCATGTTGGAGCCAGAGTCATTTTCTATTTGGAATGCAGCTTTGACAATTTGGTTCAGACAGTTCTGGTGCATGTCATCGATCATACGGTCAGCTTCGTCTACGATCTGAATTCACAAGGACGAAATCACTACTTGTTAAATACTGTCTAGCATTAGACAGTTTTTGTTTTCCTTTTGTAATACTATCATTATCAAACAAAGGCAGAAGTTTCTACCCCAAACCTGAATTTTGCTTTTATTTCAGTGACTCAGTAACTAGTCACTAGTAACTAGTCATTTAAAATACACGTATTCATTTGCACATAAATCCAATCCATGTCTCTGAGTAAGAGATCAACAACTCCCTATCCTAAATAAGACTGCAACTATGTCTCTGCACAGACTCCCATATGGTAGAAGCTACTACGGTTTGGTAATTTACCCTGACCTTGACCAATAAGGCTTTACTCTGAGTTTGTGTTTGCAAGAGGCTAAGAGAGAAGAGGAAGTTGGTGGGGGATGCTTCGGTGTCACAAGTAGGAATAAAACACTCATCTTATGAGATCAGACTGCTGTCTGAGCAATCTGGAGTGTAGATCAGGCCCATACAACCCTTCCAACAGAGATGTATTTATGTACCATGCAAGAACAAAGCAGGAATTACAGCCGCAATGGAGCTTGCATTAGGATGAGAGACATGTGGAGCTGACTCACCAGGAAGCGAAGCTCTGTCAGGCTGAACCCCGGGGTCTGGCTAATGTGATCTGTGAGCCGCCCTGGTGTAGCCACAATAATATCAGCCAGGCTGCAGTAGCCTGTCACTCTGAAAGAACAAGCAGCCCATCAGTAAGTTTCTCCCTACACCATAAAGCATGTAACAGAGATCCTTGGTCAGCAGATTCTCCTACTATTCAATTAATTGAGAAATAATAGAATTCAAATATGCACTTTACTTTGGAGAGCACACAAAGATAGTGCTGGACACTAAACCCTATTCTCCGCTGTACCGCCTCTTTTTAAATAGGAAGTGTTGTTCTTCATTGCTCTTAAAAAAGAAAACTTTAATTGGAGCAAAATCCCATAACAATCATTGGTACCTGTGGGTATAAGGTAAATGTTTGCATTCTACTCAGCTGGTCAAGAACCCTAAAAATGTAGTAAAACATAACAATCACAAAAAAGGGTAGTAGCAGGCACTTTGACAGAGACAGAACAACCAGTGTCTAGCACATAAACCCGCTATTCAAAATCATTATTGCATGATGATGTGATGCAATAGCCTATACTTTGACCTCCGCTTACTGAGATTAAATAGTTTACAATTTCAATAAACTTTGTCAAAAGACCTTTTAACCTACTTCTTCTGGACAAGCATCTCCTGCTCCTTTGCAAAAGATTTCTGGCCAGTAATCAAAACGACCTTCAGACCTGTCCCATCAGTGTAAATGTTGAACACTTTACTCACCTGCAAAGAGATGGGCTTCGTTAGCCACAACAAAATCAGTTAAAATAATACTTTCCGTTATGCTAACAACATCAAATCCCCTGACAGGTCTTCAGCCTCCTTCACAGAACAGCCAAGCAAAGTATTGACTGCACAAGCCTTTGCCTTGGTCCAGTTCCACTCAGAGAGGTGAGGAGCCGCATACCTGCTGTGCCAGTTCTTTGGTGGGCAGAACAACCAGAGCTCGTACTTGGCAAACTACTCGATCTAGCAGAACCTGCCAAAACAAAGGCCAAATGAGTCCCTGAAAGCACTGGGGAGAGAAAGGGGTTTCTAACCCTGTGAGAAAAGCTTGACATGTCCTCACAGAGAGTTTTATGTTTCCATTTTATTCCCCTCCATCCCCTCCCAACTGTTGTCTGAGAAAAGGAGTGGGATGCTGAGATGAAGGAGATTCATACAGCTCCCTGAGATCACACTGAGCTAAAAATCTGCTGCTTTACAGTCAAATTCCTTGGCTTTGCGACCTACTCCTAAGTTCAGGTTTTACTTGAACAAAAACCACCCCAGCATTTTCCCTAC